TATGGAAAGGAACTAAGATCTTTGGGTTATTTGTGCATTTCAAGTTTCATCAAAATCAGGTAAAACTTGTAACCTCTAGTGCCCACAAGCTAAAAACGTGATTTTTCATACAATCGGGGGCCATAATCCATGAAGTTATGGTCCGATACATGCCAATATCGAAAGGAACCGAGATCTTTGGGAGATAGACCTATATTTCAAGTTTTGTCAAAATCAAATAAAAATTGTGACCTGTAGAGTGTCCACAAACAAACTGTGGATGGACGGACAGGGGCGACAGTATAATACGTCCACATGAAAAGGGACTAGTCAGAAGATTCATACTCTGATCACAGTAGTTCGGCAAGGCAGGGTTGCTACTCCCTGTAAGTTTTACACAACAACCTTTGCCTACCACAAGCAGCTACTGTGTGTTAAACAATAAGCTTATATATCAGAAAATAAAATATTATAATAGGCTGATTGATGTTTGTACAAAGTTTCAAAAAGATTTCTTGAAAAATAACTATATACAAAAAAATAAGTCAAAAGTGGAGTAAAAATTGTTTCCTTGGAAACACAAAAAAAATAAATGCAAGAAATTCCTAAATAGCAAAAGGCACAACAACTGTAATAGGTTGATGTGTGTGCAAAGTTTCAAAAAGATGTCTTAAATGGTTTATGAGATATGCTCCAGAAACAAAATTGTACACTAAGTCAAATTTGTTTCCATGGAAACACAAAAATGATTAAATCCAAGAAATTCCAAATTAGCAAAAGGTGTTTTCCGGTATTCAGTATAACATGGTGTTTTCCAGTAGTTTTCCGGTGTTTTTCAGGTTGTTTTCCGGTATTTAGTATAGCCCCTAATAAACACCTACACCAAATTTGAACATTCTAGCTGAATTATAAAGAAAGTTATTGTGTCCCAAAAAGTTTGACGAACAGACAGACAGATGGATGGATGGACAGCTAGACCCATTTTAATAGTCCCCTGCTTTCTTCAAAAGGTGGGGGACAATACTATATACTAGAAAACACCATGTTATACTGAATACCAGAAAACACCAGAAAAACACTAAATACCGGAAAACACACTAAATACCGGAAAACACTCTAAATAGGTAACCCGGAACGTGGTGGGTTAGGGTTAGGTTTTTCCGGTGTTTTCCGGTATTCAGTGTAACATGGTGTTTTCCGGTAGTTTTCCGGTGTTTTGGGGTGTTTTTCTGGTTGTTTTCCGGTATAAAGTATAGCCCCTAATAAACACCTACACCAAGTTTGAACATTCTAGCTGAATTATAAAGAAAGTTATCGTGTCCCAAAAAGTTTGACGGACAGACAGACAGATGGATGGATGGGTGGACAGCTAGCTAGACCCATTTTAATAGTCCCCTGCTTTCTAGAAAGGTGGGGGACAATAAATAAACAGAATTAAAAAGAATAGTTATATAAGGGACCACAAACAAAATAAATTAATTAATCTCTGGATGCATGGTAAATAAAAAAAGAAATCAGAATTCTCGTTTATTTACCAATAAAGCATTTAAAAAATTCTAATTTAAAGAAAAATCTTTATGTGTGCCATATTACTATATAAATATAACGATATCAAAAAGTTTCTAACTTCATATTGATAGCAGATATTTTGCAAAATATGACATGTCTGGGCATGCTGTCTAAATCCAGGTATTAGCACTCCATGTATTGTGATTGTACATTATGTAGCCTATATTTAAACGGTTATTTATGTATCCAATCCAAGGCTGTCCTAATTGGGTTTTGATAATTGTCAAGTAATCCAAATTTACAAAATACTGTACACTATTCAATTCAAGTCAGTATTTCCATCTGTACAGTATTTCTGTCAAAAATTGCAATAGTATATCAGTATATGAAGATTTACCTCCCCTAGCAAATCAAATTGTGAAATATTTTCATGTTTGTCAATTTGTCATTATGAATTGTATTCTGTCAATTTTTAGCAAAAATAATTGCTATTTTCAGAGAAATTTTAAAAAATGAAATCTCAAATTTGTAAATTTAGGAATCTAATTTCTGCAGATTTCATATGACTTAACCATTTTCTGAGATTTTTAAAAGGCAGGCAAATTTCAGTTTCACACTAATAGCCCAAATCTCAGCACAAATCAATCAACTTCAGTAATTATGGCTATTGACCTAAATTTTTTATGTTCTTTTAAATCTTACATATATATATATGACATTGATTGTTAATATCGTTTCCAAAACGTAAGCTATTACAATCGTAACATCTGCATATAGTGCAGATTACATCACAAGTTCTTCGAACTCTTATCAGATCAGATGACAACTAACAAAATATGACATAAAATATTGAAATAAATGAAGATCATTCACTTGAATCTTGAAAGAGTTATCTCCCCTAGCACATCAAACTTTGAAAGGGAAAAGAAAACTACCAGTATCTAAATATCCTAACCAAATCTGTCAAACTAAAAAGGCTCAGTGGCATCGATAACATATAGCATTGGTAAAATAATTCTCTAACTCTCTGAAGCTATTTGATGTCTATTTTAATGGTATTAAATTCAAAAGTTAAAGGTGAAAATCAGTATAAAAATATATGTACCTCCTGGAAATATGGTAGTTAATTGACACCTAATGATTCATATCTAAGCTTTATTCCTCATTATGTGAAGGCAAGAATATGCAATCCAAATCTTACAATTCCATAGCCTCTGATAGCTATTCAAAGGATTGTGGGACTTTCCATATCTCCAAAACAATATCACTACATACATTTTGAGTTTTCGAGTACTGGTACAAGTAGGCCTAGTAGTAATTCAAACACATCATCTTCAAGGCTTTATTTATATAGTGTACAAAGAAAGAATACACAGATTTTAGCATATAAAATTGGTATGATCCTTTTGAGGGTTCAGAAAATTCTCCCCCACAATATATATATAAGGCCTTACTTTTCTGATTGTAACAGGCCACATTTGTCAAAAATAGCCATCAGTAAACAGATAATTCTGACTACAAGTAGGGTCTACATACGCAGTAGTGATTGCAAAGCCTATTATATACTGCACTGTTCCCTGACTTAAAGATACATTATGGGAGATTAGATAAAGAGCTGACAGTTCTCACTATAGTTAGTTAATGTAAAGGGAATTTGCTGAAAATTTCAGTCAAATTGATCCACACTGAACCGAAAATTTAGCGATTGAATTGTAGGCCTAGCCTCGATCATCATTACTAAAGTCGGTACAATAAAAAACATAGTCTCAATAATCCATTTTTTGATATAATCATCAATGAGCGTTGAGCAGCAGATTGCATTATAATCCAGTAAATATCGCAGGCTATCGATGACTTTGAGAGTTGATTGTGGTCTGGATAAGTTAATTAATGTCTAATTAATAATTTAGATAACATTTCAGGCCTAAAGAACAAAAGCATACGAGCCGCGGGGGGGAGGCAGGGGGCAACTGCCCCCTAACTTTCGGGCAGATATGTAGAGTGAAAAAAAAAAATTATTTCATCTAGTTGGCAAAATAAAGTGCCGAAATCTAATATAACACTAATTTTACTTTTCTTTTAATTGAATACCACGAATTTGTACTGAATTGACTATGGATTAATGCATTTTGTCTGGAGCCACTCTACTTTGTGCGACATTTTTCGGACATCGATTATTATTTGTGAATGCAGCTGCAACAGTGTGATTGGATGGTAGGAATTCTGGTCAGCATAGAGTGGGATTTCGGTTACAAAACCATTAGAGAACTTTAGAGTTGCTTAACTAGCGAAGCAGAAAAACACATTTGCGGTAGTTAAATTTTCAACGAATGGTTGTTGGGGATTCAGGTCGGCCACCAAAGGTAGGCTATATTGGACCACACTGAAGTTGCTGTATTCACAGACTGAAATAGAAGAAAAACGCGTTTGCAGCAGTTAAATTTTCAAAATCTTCTCCCGACGGTCCCGTCTCCGTGGACTAAAAGATTGATTGGTTGATTGGAATTCAAGTCAGCCATCTTAATTAGGGCTATATTAGACCACTTTGAAGTTGCTGTATTCATAGGTTGGAATAGCAGTAAAATTTCCCTAGCGGGGGGGGGGGGGCTACACGGTACGCTCCGCTCCTCCGATCTCACAGATGACCGGTGGGGCTACCATCTGTAACCCAAAATTTTTTCGGCTATTCCGGATTCTGTCCCCTAACTGTCATCGAGCCTGTACGCCTATGATAATGAAAGACCTGCAATTGGCACATTTAGCTCTTGCATAATGTAGCCTATGTTTAACATTTACCAGCTGCAGTTTTAAATTTTCAGTCGGTCAGTCGCGTCAGTTGTATAGTCATTTGGATGGGGCAAAAAAAACGAGGTCAACCTTTGCTACTTATTATGTTGAATGTAAATGAACCCTACAGTTGGAATACAAAGAAGAGCTGGAATACAATGAAGAGTAGGCAAAATTTCCAGCATCATAGCCATAATTTAACTCTTCAACTTCAACTTCAACTTTTTTATTTACATATTACGTCCATTAAGAACATTATACAAAACATACGCATATATCAATATCAGGTATACAAAAATATATATTTTACATGGAATAATATATTGGCATTCAAGACACCAAGTTGACCAACCATCAAACTGGAATACAGACAGATGTTAGTGGAGTTTGACCAACCATCCTGGTTATACTAGTCAGTCTGCACCGTGCCCGGAATGCCCATGATTCTGTTATTTACAATTCAGAATTCTAAGACTACAGTTGATACAAAACAAAACTAGCCTATAACATATTTAGTTCCTTTTAGCCTTTAGGAACTGTCTCTCGATGTGGACAGTTCCTAAAGGAACTAACATTCATATTATGCTGATTTGTTCAGTACCGGTATTTTATTTTGCATGGTACAGTAGGTCATTAATAATATTTCTAATGCTAATAAATAAATAAGGTCGTCAAGTTCAAACCGACTCAATCCCTTCAAAAATCATCAACAAATATTGGCTAACCTGTTTTTCTTTGATGTTTTCCCCTGGTGCCAAAGCTGCTAATCTCGACTTATTCTTGGCTTCAGCACTTCCAGTGCGAATTTTACCGCGATTAGCACCCGTTTGCTCGGACATTATGTCCGGATATTGGATGTTATGTCAATATACTCCTTAAATAATCGAATTTGAATCTCGAAAGCCTTAAATTAATTCATTAATTAAAGTAAAACGTTACTTCAATCCTTCATCTCTGTTCGAGCACCTGTTCGGCGGCCATCTTTATTGTTTACTAGTATCCATGTTACGGTCACAGCTCATTTGCATATAAATCAAAACATTGACGGTAATGTCACTAATAATGGCATTCAATCTTCGCTATTTTATTTATTGAGATCCACCACGGCAACATGGTAATGTATTCAGTCATTCATAAGCAATATATATGAAAGGTTCTCACAATAAAAGAAATAAATTCTATGTTTTTCTATTGTTATTTGTATGTTACCAAATGTTGTACACAACTTGTAAAGATCACGGCAAATCCCTCGCTTTGACACAAATATAGTATCCAACCCAATAAATTACTTTCTATTCATAAGTTTGTATCATTTGACTTGTATATTAGATACCATAGAAAACTACAGAATAGCTTGAATGAATTAGTGTGGAGACCACATAAGTTTAATTGCCAATGTTGGTATATTAATATAGGCTATAACTGCAATTTGAGCTTTGGATCTAGCTATAGCATAGGGCAGAGGGTGGGCAAGAAGGTATAGTCGCCCCCATGGGAAGATGTGAAGGGACACGAATTTTCCTGTTGGCTCTGACCTATAAATAATAACTATTCCCACCCCTTGTTTCAGATTAATATTACTACACAAATATATGGCATTAAAATTATGCATGTTATAACATTTTTAGTACAATTATTAAAATATTTCATTTTATTGCCCGTTTCCTCCTTTTTTATGCATTCTAACAAAATTTAGTAAAATAGGCCGCAATTATGTAGGTCAAAAGTTTCTTTGTTCCCCAGGCTCTGAGAACATGTGCTACAAAAACTGCTATAGGGGTAACTGTTATCCATTATTATAAACTCGAACTTGTTATTAAATAGCTGACATGTTCTTCCTTTTTATTGGCATGAATTTTAATGTAATATGAATGTATAAATAAATAAATGATTTAGATGCAATTTTAAAATTTTTATTGTAATTTGTAATTAATTATCTTCTGTGATATACGTGAACAGTCCAATCTGAACACAGCAATCGTTTACGCATGCCAAGTGCATTCTATGCAGTTTTTTTTATTATTATTTTGTCATTTGTGAATTACTATCCACTTCTGCATTGTCATGATTTTCTTTGTTCATTACAAATGGCACCCGAAACTGTTTTTAAAATGTTCATTGTATCTTAAAGACTGGATATTAGAGAGAGAGAGAGACTAGGTTTAACCTTCACTTCACACAAACTAGGTCATTTCGGGACTAACATGGTTCATTTTATTTCAATAATTTGCCTGCGTGTAGGGGTCTTTCAGCAGTGGGAGGAAACTAGAGGACACGGAGAAAACCCACGAGCTTTGACAGACAACCCTACTCCTTGTCACTTACAACCGGGAATCGGAACCACGCCAGTTGACTCAATGACAAACCTTATGATGCAGCCACAGACGCTAACCATTCGGTCACCCCCCCCCCCCCCATTTAAACAGATAGAAATACCAAACAAATATACAATAACACATGAGCAATTCTGCAAAGAACTTTATTAATGACCAAAGCATCTAGACCATATTCATGGCTTGTATAACAATGATCTTATATTAAATAATGAATGAGGAATATAAATTGTCAACTGATAAAACAGAGTAAAATATTGAAATAAATTCATGACAATTCAGATAATAACTGCATGGAACCAACCATAATATAGAAAATTGTATAGACTGGTATAGTGCTAGCACGATGTATCTTTGAATCGATGTATTACGATTCACTTTCTCTTAAATTGTTTTGGTCCTTATTTTGATCCACAGCAATATCGTTTTATAAAACAGTTTTATTTCTACAACATCGGCAGGACTAAAAATATCAATTATTCATTTATCCTGTTGATTTCTTGGTATATATTGACCTGGTTGTGAATCGTAATATGAATCGTATTGTAGCACCTGAATCGCAATATGTATTGTATCGTGCCTGCAGTGGCAATATCCAGCACTAGACTGGTATAATGGCAATTTAATTCATTTTCAACTCTTGTTTTTAGTTCATATGGTATTACCAAATTGTACAATACTAAAGAATAATAGTAACCTAACTTATCTTCATGTTTTCTGATTTTATAAAAAATATTAAAATATTCAATTAAAACTTTTGTTTTATATCATTTATTGTTGTTATAAAATCCTACTACTAGTGAATTATGGCTGGAAACTAAAACTTTCATTAAAATAACATGAATATACAATATTTACATCAAACAAAAAATTGCATTGTACTTGATTAATTATGATGATTGAAAAACCTCTAAGGTTACTGGTGAAAATGAAGTCGTATGGCTGTTATGAAACAATGCTTTTGTCTATTATATAAAAGCATTCACAAAGATGCATGTTGCAATTTTGGTCAAGGCAGTAAAACAAGAAAAAAAAAACCTGTTGCCATGGTAGCAATATAAACATGTAATAAATATAGGTTGTTTATAATATGTATACATATGTTAGTTTGTAATCCATAAATATGTGACAACCTACAAAATTAATGATCATAAAATTGTACATATACAGTTAAATTTTATAACAATTTAATATGTTAACTTCATTAAATACATTTCAACAAAGAATACATAAATAAGCCAATTAAAAACATATCTTCTTTCGCACATACATACACATCTTATCTTAATCAGATCACAGTTTCTAAACAATCCATAATATTAGCAACATAAAAATATAATACAATTCAATAATACAAACAGCTTGTACTGCCTGGTTTAACATATAATATGCATTTTATGTGACCACAGATATTACTGAAATATTACAGATAAAATTTGAAGATATTTAATAAAAATATTTGATTCTTGGTGACATGGAAAGTCTTTTAGGAATGAACATTAAATTCATGCGTTATACATCAACTGAACGGAATAATTAGTCTCAAATATTTTAACAGGGACTGAGATGTTAGCCACATACAACAGACATGGTGAGTATGTATTGATATATATATTTAAACGGCACCTCTAAGGTTGGCCAACATTATAAACTCTGCTCAAATACATGTACATGAAGCATAATTGTACAGCACTACTCATATACGAGTCACATAAAGTCACTAGATGGCTAATTGTAGTGGTTTTAAAATCAATACTAGTATCAAATTATAATGAATAATTTTCTTTTTCTACATTTGCAAAACAGAGGGTTTGTTTCTGAGTCAGTTACCAATTCTAACAAACCTGGGGTGAAACATGCTGAGCATTATTTAAATTATTAAAGTGGTTCATCTGATTGGCTGAAATAGTGGCAGCTGCACTTTTTGTCTGGTGTAGAGAGGGAACTGAAAAATTAATAATAGGAATATTACCATACTTATAATTAATCAGATTTATTACTATGAGCAGTAATGATGTGATAACAGGAAACGCTATCAAGAAACTGAAAAGGTTATCTTGTGTACAGCTTTATGATCCGGAAACTAAACTGGGACAGAAAGATCCCATCTGAATATCCTCCCTTAACTTTGTTCGGGGTGTGATAATAAACAAACATTTATCATCGCAGTAATGATTTTACTGAAGTTGAGAAATCAATAACTATAATTTTGGTACAATGTAGATGTTGAGAAAATCTATTCTGTTTTTGTAATATTGTCAATATTTTGTCATGTCATGACCTGAGAATTGCAGGGTTCTGAAACTAACATTTCTGTCATTTTGAGAAAATTATGACCGAACAATATGTTAAACATCTTGAACTGTCCATTTTTTTTTCAACTTTTCACTAGTGGATACCTTCAAAATAATAGGGTTCTATCTGCCACTTTCCCACGAGTGAAGCCTAGGCTTAGCCATGATGCCTGAGGGATGCTCACCTAACTAAAATACAAGCTGATATCTGGTTGGTCCTCTGAAAACGTCCTTTTTGGCTAAGCCTATAGGCCTCATCCATGGAAAGCGGCATATAGAACCCTATTATTTTGAAGGTGTCCAAAAGTGAATTGGAACCTTGTAATTGTGTTGTGGACATAAGACCTATGTAGATGTTGAGTGAATCTTTTCTATTTTGTAATATCGTCAATATTTTGTAATATTGTGGAAAGAGAAATATTGAGTGGTATTATCTAAAATTGATCTAACATTATGAAATATTAGCAACTAGTTATTTCACATTAATTGATATTATAGTCATTTTTTAATGTACATCATCAAAACAATAGAATAGGATAACACTCCTATAACTCAATAACTGCTTTGGAGTTAAGAGCATTTGTTTTCTACACATTTTAGATTTGACTTGTACTCCACATCAACTTACCCACAATATACATATACGATAAGTTGTGGGTGAATATATTGAGATAATTGGAAAGCTTTATGGATCAATACTTACTGTAACCCATGCCTTGTAAAAAGAAAAGAAAAGCTTCACAGACTTTTCCTGGTTGTTCTTCTAAAGGCATACCACCACAATCAGCAATCTTAAAAATGAAAGTGTTTATCAATAACTTTTTTTGGACATGCAAACATACACTTAGAAGTGTTTTTCTGATCAATACGTTCTCATCAACTCCCTTTCCCATATAACTCATCCACATTACGTGTATAACATTCCTAAAGACTTTTCTAAATAGTTCCAGTCTCATGTTCAGGAGATTTAAAATTCAAAATATTTAACTAGCTAAAAGTACATCATTTTGGGATAACATATGGCATACTATTATTTCACAATTCAACACACTGCTCTTGAAGAATTGGAGAAATTTCATGTGGCTCAGGGTTAGGAGCATGAGTTCACGTATCTCAAAAGTGTAGTGCATGTTTATTCTTAGTATGCAGTTAGTCTTGTCATTATATATAATTAGTTAATCATTATTAGGATACACGTCACAATTCTGTGGTCTGTAACATAACTCAAAACATGAAAGATAAAAACCTTCATAAAATCTGTTTCTGATGGATCCATTTTACCATTCATGTCAACTACTTCATCTATATGAGGAGAACTATCACCAACTAAAACCAATGAACGACATCTGAAACAATAAATATATGTAATTAATTATATCTTTCTACTGTACTTCATATTTGAAATTAAATAGTAAACTAAAGACAACTTCCAATCTTAATATGCAGAAGATAAAAACTTTAAACCAAGTTTGAGCACAATATATAAACCATCTTCCTCCACTTACTTGATTGTTCTAGAAGCAGCTTTTTTCATCAGATCCATCTCTCGCACAATTCCTAAATCTGAACGTCTGTAACATAAAATACATTTATCATATTTATAAAAGCTGAATCATAATAAAAGAAAAGAATATCACATGAAAGGGGATCACATACTGCTGTTTAACATCTTGTGGTATTCAAGGCCTTACCCAATCTAAAATACTTTTATTACATAACATTTTATTCAGTTTTTATTGATTTTACACTGGTACTACCTTATTTATCTCCATGACAAATTAAGTAATAACAATTGTGCCTTTTTGTACCAGCCAGTCCATTCCACATTACTGGGTATTTTGTAATACTCATTTGCAGCTTAAAGATGGGTTCCCAGAAAAGTATTTATGGGGTGATTTTTTCCAATAAAAGAATGGTAATTTTGGTATATATGGAAAGTAGAGATATCCAATCTTACTAGAAAAATACTGGATTCCCCGAAAAACACTCATGGAGCGTATACAGGACAAAAATGTAAGGGTTCCCCTAATCAACAGCCCGACGATTAGGAATTTCTGCACGCGTGATGTCAAAGGTCACACACGAACATTGAGCGCTTGATGTACAAGTTGATAAACTTTATGAAGAGTTAGACGTACAACACCTTCTGAGATAAAAATGACGAAAAAAGACGCGGGTAGTGGATAATCCGAGAATTTAATTAGGATTCGATATTTGTAATAAATAGTAAGCGATTAAAGACAACATTGTCTTATGTATGCAATGAATTCTCCTGACTTCCAAGAGAGGTAAGTCACGTGACGTAAACATGACCTGGCTTGATTGAATTTTTATAGCAGTACATTCCTTCGCAATTACAATGTTTGAGAAGGATTTGAAGCAAAGTTATGACAAATTAATTAGTTTGAATATGTTTTCAGTCCATATATACTATTAAATCACCCAGTTTGTACGCGGGAACCCATCTTTAATTACATAGAAAGAAGAGTATTTACATTAAAAAAATGTAGATTTTGACTTTTAACATATGTTAACACTCTGGCTTTTCTGCCTTTAAAATACAAGTCCTTACTTCAGATAAGATTCGATGAATAGACCTAAATTCTGGGCATTTACAGACTTCATGTATTCTTTATAACAGGTGATCAAATCATGATTCTCCCATCTTGTTTTCTGCAAACAAAAACAGCACAGTTGTATATAATCTTGTATTAGTTGTAAGCAAATTTTTCGACTTTAAAGACTGGTTTGGAATTTATGAAGAATGCTATATAATTTTACTGAAATACAAAATGTCTTAGCTATATGACAGCAACATTTCTTGCCATTGTCGGTAAGCATTCATTACTTAGTTTAACTCAATTGAGCCAATGAGTTCCACATTCCTCACATTATGCTCTAAAACAGTGGTTTCCAACTTTTTGGCAATATGTTGAGTGGTCAATAGTCGATCAGTCATCACCATGTCATGCACCATTCTTAAATGGTTGCTGTTGATGGCCTTTCAGGATGTGGGTCATCGCCAAGACTCTCTCTTTTACTGTGGAGAACATGTCGACATGTATTTGTGTTGGGGTTAGTCTGTTCAGTTGCAGGTACAAGATGGTTGCCCTATAGCCAGTTTGTTCATTTCTGGTGATTTAAAAGAGTAGGTTCACAAGATGGTCTGGTACGAAGACAGTAATAACACTATAGTCATAGTTCTTCTGTCTATGATACATTCAATGATTGTACTTTTTGGTGGCAAAAGTTTGTTTCAACCCAATCAATCTATCCTTTTCAGGCTTAGAACTTTTCAGTCAGCCCTCATATATGCTTTTCATGAAAACATAGCATTTATTCAAAAGTTTCAGAGTAGTCCGCCGCAACCCCACAAAAAATGTTCCCCGACTCTAAAATATTAATCTTTACAAAATGCACATGAGCACATCTACATGGCAATTGACTGTTGAGATATTGTCAAAATCATCCAGGCAAGTTGATTTGTTTGACAGATAGTAGCCACAAAACACTGACTGGGATCCAGTCCAAGAAAAAAATGACAAAAACAAACTCATCGGTCAATCTAAAACTATGCATATTAATATAATGGGACCAAGTTCCAAGTAATGAAAAGGTTAACAATTTGTAAAATTAACAATCACCTTTCCAAACCAATGCCACAGTAGATATTCTTCTGTGAAATTAGTCACTTGCCCACTAAATAGATACCAGGAATTCATCTAAAAAACAAAAAATAAATTTTAACTGTTTAATTAATTTTTTATGCTGTTTGGAGAGCAAATCAAATCACTGCATTCGTATAGAACTTAGGGAAAGAATCTAAAGTACAGGCAATTGGATAGACCCCAGGTCAGGCCCAAAAGAATTGTAAATGTCTATGTTATTGATTGCAGTGAAGATAGGTTGCCAGGCAGCGAAACATATGCCCACAGCAGCTAAATCATCCATGCAGTCAACAAAGGTTGTTGTAAATTTATTCTTTTACAAGACACTAAAAAATCAGTTTCATACAGATCAAATGATGACAACTTTTGTCAGAGTACTCAGCAGAGCATTCACAATGATTAACAAATTGAAACTAGGACGATAACTTTTTAAGTTATGTATATAAATTGTTGAAACTTATATAGGCTTCTTCATTTTACCATAATACTAATAAATAATGCATAAGATAGGTTGCCAGGCAATGAAACATACGCCCACAGCAGCTAAATCGTTCGGGCAGTTAACAAGAGTTGTCGCAAATTTTACTTTTGTTGGTCATGAAACATTTATAATACACTAAAATCTGATTAAGAGTAACATTACAACTCATTAAGTAATTATCAGAAAATCATTAGAAATTGTTTGGCCTATGCTAACATACAAAACACTTAATATCCTGGATTTAGCCGTTCAAGTTTTCAAAAATTATTGAAAATCTATATACTTGTTCATCTCAAGACCTTAAACTTTGTGTATCAATCTAAAGTCAATCGATACGATAATATAGAGAGGCATAAACACAGTGTATAAATATAAAATCAATGAGATGATAACTATGGTCTCTAAAGCATCCACAAGATTTTTCAAATATGCCTATTGCAAGTCTTTCTATAAGCTTCAATTGTTATAGAAATTATCAATTAGACCTTTATTTACATAACATGCCCAAAATCAACTCTGTAGACCCTCGGATGGCTTGGATACAGCTTAGATTTAAACAGTCGTCCATTTAATAATTAAATCATTAAATGGCTGACCAAGCGGACATTTACCGTTAATCACTGGCGTCACTCCCGGTAACTGCGAATGAAAGGACTGATAATCGAGGGTACCGTAGGCATTCAAGATGTTACTTGATAATCAAGATTATGTGGGCTAAGTTATTGTCTGTCAAACGATCGGCAGTTCTCAGAGACAGTGCAGACACAGTTGATACTTGATACCTATTTCTAGTTCAAACTTCCAACACTGATAACTTCGTTCAGAATAAATTAATTTGACAGAAATTTTCAATATTTTCTTTTTTTTTATCATCTATTTTTGAACTGTTATATCAAGAATGGCCAACAGCAAAAAAACCAGCCAGATTTCCATGTGGATATATATAATAAAGATAGGTTGCCAGGCAATGAAACATACGCCCACAGCAGCTAAATCGTCCGACTGGTCGACAAGGGTTGTTGCATATTTATTCCTTTGTAGGTAATTGGGGAACTTTACAATACAGTTCCATACAGATCAGATTATAATTTTTGCCGTTTGAGGGTTCACAAGGTTCAATAAACTGAAACAAGGGTCTCAACTCTGGAAGTAATCTACAGAAATTTTTGAAATTTGACAGGCTTTTTCGTTTTACTAACTTAAATAATGCATATACATTCCATATAGATCGGATCATGACTTTTGTCATTCGAGGGTACACAATGTTCAACAAAATAGAACAAGGGCCATAACTCTAGGCATAATTAATGGAAATTGCTCAAATTCAATAGGCTTCTTCGTTTCACTAATTTAAATAATGCATATAAATTTCATACAGATCGGATGATAATTTTTGTTGTTAGTGTTCACAAGGTGCAATAACGTGAAACAAGGGCCATAACTCCAGAAGAAATTAACAGAAATTTAGTATTCTTCATCTCACTGATGGTAACAACATATATCAATTTCAAAACAATCAGATGATAAATGTAGTCTATAGAGTGTTCACAAGAAATTGTGGACGACAGATGGACCAAAGGACCGATGGACGGGGGCGACGGCAATATATGACTCAAGACAATGTGGGTGTATAAAAACTGAACAAATGATCTTCTGACATTAATTTCCATAAAAGATATTTTGGCTGTTGCATGTATCTGTGAAAAACTTATATACTTTATTTTATCAAGAAAAGATTTCCATGGAAACACAAAAAATATAAATCTGAGAAATTCCAAATTAGCAAAAGGCACAACTACATGTACTGTAATAATAGGTTGATGTTTGTACAAAGTTTCATGAAGATATCTTGAATGGTTTATGAGATATGCTCCTATAACAAAATTGTACACCAAAAACTAAGTCAAATTTGTTTCCATGGAAACACAAAAAAATATATATCCAAGAAAATCCTAAATAGCAAAAGGCACAACTACTGTAATAGGTTGATGAGTGTACAAAGTTTCAAAAAGATATCTTGAACTCTTTATGAGATATGCTCTGGAAACGAAATCAGGACAGGTGGACCCCATTTCAATATCCCTTCCTAACTTCATTCTGCATGGGATATAAATAAGTTATTTCAACTTAAAGACATATTGTCATTCCACAAAATAAATCCTCAGGTTTAGGGAGAGACTAATGACTAGGTCATTTCGGGACTAACATATAGTTAAATTTTATTTCAATAATCCACTTGTGCGTAGGGGTCTTTAGCAGTGGGAGGAAACCGAAGGACCTGGAGAAATCCCACGAGGTTGGACAGGCGACCCCTACTCCTTGTCACGTACAAGGGAATCGAAACCACGATAGTCGACTCAATGAAAGATCTTCAACGCGCACATGCTAACCATGTTATATGTTTAATACTGTAATGTGAGTATTGGAACGTATGTTTATAAATAATTGAGGAAATGATTTGGCAAAAACTCACCAAACGAAAAATAAAACAACAAAATGTTGGTAAAAATTTTCATAGACTGGCAATTTATATTTTACACCTAAGATACAGGTCAGGAGCAATAAACCTTCTATAGCCAAGTACTGCACTTTAAACAAAACTTTTATCACTCATGCAATAACTCTGGTAACAGTTTTTTAAATCGTTCAAAATTCATATGAACCATCTCCGCCACAGTAGCCTAATGATGGTTTCCAAAACTTTGACAAAAATCCAACCAGAAATTAGACATGCAAGTTGAGTGCAAATAGGAAAGACAGACAGAGAAGAACAAAAATATATAAACTAAAAATATAATAAAGCTCACCTTTTGGTATCCCCATTCAATCCAGCCTGCCGGTGTTGCTGTTGCATTAACCAAAGCCAAAGAATCAATACTATCAGGATGACTCAGCTAAAAAATATTGACACAACATATCAAATAGAGCAACAGAGAAACTTCCCCTCGCAAATACATGTATGAACTTTGTGGACTTTTCCTAATGCAATCTCACCATGTTTTAAAAAATATACCCACACAGCACGCTAGAAAATCATGAACTTTCTCGGCCAACATGGGGATAGAATACACAAGAACTTCAGGTCAGCAAACCAACATCTTTCTCACTGAGCCACCGCTGCTCCCATAGGTCTTGGAAAGTTGAATATTTATTGTGTTCATTCTCCCGTGACCTCAATTCTTCACACCAGGATCAGACTTGAAACATTCATTGATAACTGTAGCCTCAATCATTTTCAGAGTAACTACTATTGCAACAATCCAAAAACAAAATAAAAGATTAAATGGTAATTATAATAAATTACTCACAGCATATCGACTTAAAATATTTGCTCCAGCTCCAACACCAAATCCAATAAATCTCTTCATTCTAAAAATAACATTTATAAAATAAAGAAATCACTAGGTGTGGCCCTAATCAATTATATAATGCAGTTTATATAATGCAATCAACAGCTTCATTTGTTAATCAACTTAGTAATCTAGTAAATTCATCATATATAAACTTACTTTGTAGTTTATATAATGTATTCAACAGCTTAATCTCTTAATCAACTTAGTAATCTAGTAAATTCATCACAGAGATTAGTTTCAAAATAAGGCTTACCCATAATGCTCTACAACATGATGAACTGCTTCCGCTAATTGATCCATGGTCGGATAAACAAACCTTAATAAATGAAAAAAACAAACTTATAAACAGCTGCATATGATTAGTTAATTATAAAGATAGACAATCAAGTACATTGATATATGTTGTTAGTAATAAATATAGTTTGAATGAATAATTTATAACAAACTTGGAATTCATAAATATTTTATGCTCACAGAAAACAATATAAACATCAAATACAAAATGGAGCAATAAATTATGTGGCATAGTTGAATGCATTAACCTGATAACAGCCATTTCAACTATGACAAGATATTGCCAAAGAAAGTTGGATGATAATATTTTTTTCACATTCTTTCACACTGGTTTAGATTTTAATCTGTTTTTTGGGGGAGGTTTTTTATGGAAAACCAGTGCATTTGAGAAAGAATGTGACATTTCAGTAATTACTTAAGTTTTCATTTAATGAAATAAACCAAATTACAAAATTATATTGTTTATTATATCATAAATAATATACCAGGTAATCATAACAATAATGATTAATATAAAGGGCTTTCTGAATTTTACATTTGTTTAACCTATTTAATAAACATTCAATTTTCTTTTGAAAAGATACAAAATAAATCATAAACAAATAATAAGAAAAACTAAACCATAAAAAACATCCTTTTAAGAAAATTTAATACAATTTATTAGAAAGCAAAAATATTAGTATTTTTACAGCATTATTCAACAAATCTACTAAAATGTTGATTCTATTCTAGCATAATGGGTTAGACATTTTTCATTATTTGCCCTATGGCAATCATGTGTACATAATATATGAAATGAAATGCCACAAAACAATACATCATCCATAATAAAAAGTAACGGCTGTAACTGTGTGTGATCGTCTGATGTTCGAGGTCATTTGAAACACTATATTTTTATCCAAAACAAATGACTAAAACTACAAGGACCGATATGAGAGGTGAACTGAAAAGCAAGATGGAATACAAAAACCGAAACATTTATAAAAAAAACCACAAAAAAATGCATACAAAGGACATGCAACAAAGAAGGCAAATAATGCATTTGCATATCAAACCATAATCCTGGACTGCTGGAGCTAAAAATATTTTACTATATCTACTATAACCAAGACCAGGATGTACTACTACAGCTTGTTTACCATGGTCGTCCCATTTTAAGCTTTATTAAAATAAGGCCAAAGATATCTCTACTCTCAGTCAAATTATGGTAGTTTTAATCTGTAGTGCAATGAAATATTTGTGCATTTGACAGTCATAAGATGTTGCAATTTGAGTCCAAACCAAACCTTCATATTTTTTATCTATGTGTTAATAATAATATAAAAAAAAGCTTCAAATGTATTTAAGAGGTTGTTCAATCAACATTTTGTCTAAGTGGTTGAGACCAAATCAAACAGTCATAATTTATTATTTATGTTTTAATAATAACATAACTTTAATCGTCAAATGTATGTAACAAGTTGTTCAATCAACATTTGGTTTAATTGGTAGTCTATATGCATCGTTGAAAAACTAACAAACTACAGTGGATCAAGAATAGAGATTTCAATCAAAAACTAATCCCTGCGTCTAGCACCTTGACCTACAGTATTATGTACATCCTCATTTGCAAAATTATCATAACATGAAACTAGTTTCATTGATTATTTGGATTAATTTTGTTGAAAATTAGGAAATAAATGTAATATCTAATTAATTATTACATGCATCTAATAAGATCTTTCAGATATTTGAAACAGAAGGAAGAGACTAACATATTAAAACTACAGTATGATTCAAGATGGTGATTGAAGTGCTGAAGAAATACATAGTACTTTTTATTTTGGGTGTTGGAAGAAATTGAAAATAATAAACTGCAAGAAAAACTGGTGCTACAAGGAGATTCACTTTGTCTAACCTACCTGTTACCCAGAGAATCAGGATTACCCAATGCATCATGTCTGTTGACAAGCAATTTGGAAATAGCACACATAGTTTATAAGATTCTTATTCATAAGGACAAAGTTAATATATTTTACATACAAATTATGCCTGGTTTCATCTATTCTATAACTGATATCATGATTTCAGCAAATGAATTATAATTTCATAGACGCGGAAAATCTTCAGAGTTAAACTGCTCATGCAATATTATTATATTCAAACTGCAAACTAACAAAAATGAAAATCACTAAACTAACATCGTCGCTTCTAATATATTTTTTATAGCCAACTTAAGAATTACATGTATTCTATTTCTTCAGGTCATTCCCACAAATCATATCAAGAGAAATGCTAGATATATCCACAAATTTTTATCTTCAAAATTGTTATACTTACTCAGGTTTCAAATGAAGGGCACCTTCTTCCTGTCCAGGAGCATTTATGTGGTAAACACTGAAGTGGTGAAGTATTGGCTGCATTTCAGAGAAACTGAAAAATCCTTGGAAACATGTCACATCTGCAAAAAATGTAAAGTGTTAAAACGAAACTAGTCAAATCAAAATTCTGAAATGTTTGAAATAAATTAATTAATGGTATATCAAATTTTTAAAAAATCTAGTACTAATACAATTGACATCATTGTCTTTTAGTTTTCTGTTACTAAACTTACTCCCATACAATGCCAGTAAGCTTTTCCAGTAAAAATAGTAAATTCATGATTATATGTTTTTAAATGGGAAATTTCAAGCAAATGACCTTGGTTGAAATTCTGATATTCATCATTGGTTGATTTAACACCATACAATATTTTACAGTCTATTTAAAATTATCATTATTTAAACATACATTATGCAAGAGCTAAATCTGCCCATTGAGGGTCTTTCTTTAGGTCTGAAATATTATCTAACTTATTAATTAGACATTAATTAACTTATCCAGACCATAATCAACTCTCGATGTCATTGCTAGCCGGTGATATTTACTGGATTTGAATTTGATTTGGTTCTCAACGCTCATTGATGATTTAATCCAAAAATGGACAATCAAGACATGTTTTTTATCGTACCGACTTTAGTAATGATGATCGAGGCTAGGCTTAAAATTAAAAAGCTAATATCTCGGTTTAGAGGGGATCAATTTGACTGAAAACTGCCACCTCTTTATCTAATCTCCCATAATGCCCCTTTAACAGAATAATGTACTTACGATTTAACCCGATGTCATGAAAGGTTACAATAGGCATCTTGGATCTATCACCTTGAATAGCAACATGCATGTTTCCATATGGTGTTTCAATATCATCCTCCTATAATATTAAAATTAAAAAGTTTTAAAAAAAATTCTTGTAATTTCAAAACATAGACAGGGGTCTCTCAAGACCTCATCAGGTGTGTTAGGCTGTTAGCTCACTATATCAATGTCAATAAATTCCTGTGGAGCAAATTTTATAATATCCAACTATCAAAAAAATTCCATTGAAAGTTTTTCTGGTTCACAAGCTGTATATGTGACAGGATGGTGACGTCCTTGATACATACATTCCCCACTTATTTTGTATTCTGGGCTAAAAATTACAACTATATGCTGTCAAAGATGGTTTAGATGATACCAATGACTTTGTTTTTAATCACATAAAATGTGGGCGTATAAAAAAAAAAGATAGGTTGCCAGGCAATCAAACATACGCCCACAGCAGCTAAATCGTCTGAGCTGTCGACATGGGTTGTCGCATATTTATTCCTTTGTAGGTAATTGGGGGCCTTTACAAGACAGTTCCATACAGATCAGATTATAATATTTGTCGTTTGAAGGTTCACAAGGTTCTACAAACTGAAACAAAGGTCTCAACTCTGGAAGTAAACTACAAAATTTGACAGGCTTTTTCGTTTTACTAATTTAAATAATGCATATAAATTTCATACAGATCAGATGATCAATTTTGTCATTCAAATGTTCACAAGGTGCACAACCACCATAACTCTTGAAATTATTGACGGAAATTGCTGAAATTCAATAGACAAGGGCCATAACTCTAGAAGTAATAAACGGAAATTGATGAAATTCAATAGGCTTCTTCCCTTTACTAATTTAAATGACACATGAAAATTTCATACAGATCAGCAGATAACTTTTGATGTTACAGCGTTCACAACGTTCAATAAAGTGAAAAAGGGGCTATAACTCTAGACATAATAAAAAGAAATTGCTGAAATTCAATAGGCTTCTTCGTTTCACTAATTTAAATAAGGCATATCAATTTCGAAAAGATCGGATGATAACGTTTGGCGTTACGTTCACAAGGTTCAATAAAGTAAAACAAGGGCCATAACTCTAGACGTAATGAACAGAAATTATTAAAATTAAATTGGCTTCTTGAAGTTCTTCGTTTCACTAATTTAAATCATGCATATAAGTTTCACTAAGATTGGGTGATAACTTTTGGCGTTAGAGCATTCACAGATACACGGGCCATAACTTTAGACGTAATAAACAGAAATTGCGGAAATTCAATAGGCTTCTTTTCACTAATTTAAATAATGCATATAAATTTCACAAAGATAGGATGATAACTTTTGGCGTTAGAGTGTTCACAAGGTTAAACAAAGTGAAACAAGGGTCATAACTCTAGAAGTAATACACGGAAATTGCTGAAATTCAATAGGCTTCTTTGTTTCCCTAATATTGCATATAAATTTCACAAAGATTGGATGTTAACTTTTGGCATGAGCGCGTTACCAAGGTTCAACAAAGTGAAACACGAGCCATAACTCTAGAAGTAATAAACGGAAATTATTGAAATTAAATATGCTTTTTCATCTCACTAATGTAAACAACATATATCAATTTTAAAACAACTGGATGATAACTTTTGGCATTGGAGTGTTCACAAGAAATTTTGTACGATGGACGGGCGGACAGACATACTGACATACGGGGGCGACGGCAATATACGTCCACATTTCAATGTGGGCGTATAAAAAAAACCATTCATGGCTTTGTTCTTGTTTCAACTAAAAAAAAATCAAAACAATATATTACCTGAATAAGAATAGCTGAAGCATCATAAAAAGATCTTGGTTTAGGATCTGTAGTATCAATACTAGTTAGCTCAATATCAGTTAATTTCTCCATTCTTCTATTCTGAAATTGTCAGCAACATGCTATAAAATGGCATATCTAATTTCTCTAATACATCATCTTAATGTATCACACATTTAATCCAACAATTAGACAAACCTACTTACATATAATTACGATAAAGTCATTCAAGCAATACAGTTTTCTATGATTTGCTAACAAAAAAACACAATTATATACAGGAAAATAAAAAGATTATAACTCATCTTTTTTCAAAAATATACAGACCATGCATGTGTAAATATCATAACTGGCAAATATACAAGGAATATAAAACAATAAGTAGATGTAACAATAAATTACATACTAAATACGATTTTATTTGTAAAATAGGTTTCTAATTTGTCAAAAATCCAGAACAGGTTTATTTTGAATCAACTGAGATAGGTTAGAACAAGATGTTAAATGTCAGTCAATGTCAAGCATTAGATTAGTTTTTCTAAAAAATAAATTTCTGTAAAAATTAACTAACAAATTATTAGTTTATGAATTTTTATTAATGAAGGTAAATAACATAAAGACAAAGCCCCCCCCCCCCCCATATAATTCCATTAAATTCCTTTATATTCCATATATTTTCAACATATGTTGAGGTTCGCCATTTTTTTTTCTATGCAATAATGTTAAGTAATATACTTCAAGGACCACAGTAGGCCTATGTCATGGAATACTTCTACCATGTACAATTGGCTGATCTTTTATAACATACCCTTTCTTATGTCATGAAAAATGTCCTAATATCTATATAATCCTGAAAGTACACACATCCGAACAATTTTGAAGAGATTTTAGAAAGACTATCAATAAAGTAAAAATGCACTACTTTTTTTCCTCCTTCCCCTGACAGGCTATATAACTTATAACATGATAAAATTTTGTATAGTTTTTATGGACAGCTTTATTGTTCTATAAAATATGGTGTTCTCAACACAAGGTCAAAAGAGGAGATTCATATATAAACATTTTTATGAGTTCTTATAAGAAATCTAAACATAAAAACATCTCAATTTACTGTTGTGTACTTCAAATTTATTTACTTTTGTACATATTTTCGTTATATGATCTTTTATAAACAAAATAAACTTAAAACTTTTCATAATGAAAACTGGGGATTATAGAGTAGTGAGAGAAATAGAGAGAGAAATGGGGTTTAACATACACTTGACACCAACTAGGTCATTTTGGGACTAATATATGGTTCAATTTTATTTCAATAATTCGCTTGCGCATAGGGGTCTTTACTCTTTAGCAGTGGGAGGAAACCGGAGGACCTGGAGAAACCCACGAGGTTGGGACAGGCAACCCTACTCCTTGTCACGTACAACCAGGGAATCGAAACCATACCAGTTGACTCAATACAATGACAGACCTTATCATACAGTGCGCATGTGCTAACCAGTCAGCCATCCAACCCCCCATTAGAGAGTAGTAAAGGGATAGTAAATCTTGGTTGTAAAATGTTATTTCCTCATCTGTAAATTACTTAAATAATGTGGGTGAGTAGTAATATGCAATGGTAATCATAAGGTATTATTGAAATTGGTATAAAAAATGTTAGGGTGTATCAGGAATATTTTGTATAACTGGCTATATATGGGGGTAAATTCAGAGGGTTTAGAAAGTAATTGGGGCAAAGTTGCATCATAATAAATTTTGTAGAACTTTCTAATTATTAAATATAAGCAAAAGTCTTCTAGTCACCCATAAAAAACTACTCTATTCTACAGACTATTCTGGCATTTCTACAAAGTATTCTGGTCACCAAAATATTTGGAAGCATGATGCAGTCATCCTTGGATTTGTAGACAATGATGTACTGGTAAATAACAAAAGTATGTCAGTCAATCTGATTTAAACAGATACATATGGTCTGTTTAAATTCTTGAACAGATACATATGGTCTGTTTAAATTCTTGAACAATCTTATCAAAAACAGATCTTTATTTTGTTTTGTTTTCGTATTTCTGAACAAATGAACGAATGATAATCTGATATGATTTAATGTGCATTTGACCCTTAAAAGAACTGTGGCGTTCTGTAGATTAGAGAATGGTGAACTAATGTTGAATTTGAAAAGATGTAACTTGAAAAACAATGACAGTAATATAAGCCAATGGCTTTCGAAGATAATACGTGTCGAAGTTGTCAAATGTCATTTTCAACTTCATGCAGATGAATTCATCAATAGTATCTTCAAGAATTTTAGTAAACACTGAGAAGCTAATTCAAGAGAGAATTACATTGGTTAATGTCGCAGGTCTAATAGAATGTAGTTTCCATTCTTTTCTTAAAATCTTTAATTTTTAATGATAATTTGAATTTAAATAGTAAAACAGAATAGAATCTATGTTTTAATCAGCTTGATGTTCTGTACACTAACATTTTGTACTAAACAAATACCATTTTCCCAGTAAGTATGCATGTATAAAGTCACAGGTGCTGCTTACTAAATTGGCTTTTCAAGAATTAACACTACTTGTGTGGCCATAAATGATTGGTTTTTTTTTTTTGGTTTTTTTTTTTTTAACCTCAACCCTAGATTTGTGCAAAAATTTATCACCTTAATCCTAACTCAGTATTTATCAAATAGTATTGACACAATTTGACCTGCTAATGGTCAGTTCATAATCTGATTGCTTTGTACTAATCATAGACAATCGTAGGTGACTATCTACCAATCAGAATGCACCTTCTAACCTTGAACCCTTCTCTTGACTCATCTTAAAGGACATGTATATTGTGGCAAGCACCTGTGATACTTGTCACACTTTTTCAATTACATGAATTAGTCTGAATTAATAAGGCAAATGACTGCATCTTGCCACCAAAAAAGCATTAATAATACTGAAACGTTAAAATTAAAATTATTCCCAATAGCCAACTACTGAAATAGAAACTTAGAAGACTGAAGAGCAGTAATGACCTGACTAGGACATTTTATTACTAAAAAAAAACAGTACATATCTTATCTAAAGAAAGGGTCAAACAAAAACAATAAAGGCATTAATTTCATCTGTGACACATGAACACAGGACATAATTCTTTGAAATGTACAATTACGGATCATATCTTTCTTCTTTTGCTTTTACAAGGTTTGGTTCTTTAAAAACATTTATTGATCTTCTTAATTTATAAAAGAATATCATTCCCAGGCCTGTTAATCAGACGATCAACAGTCAGAAGGCTGCCTTATTAGCATAACTAATTTCGAACCAAGAGTACTGAAAAATTCTGAACAAATATGGCAGGCCCATGTAAACAAAATCAATGTATTGTACGAAACATTAACACATGTACAGTAGAAAGGGTAATTTTTGGGTGATTAATGAGAGGGAATTAAGGCAGGGTTGTTGCATATAATTTACAAATATAGTTATGAATAGTGTTGGAGATTTTTTTGTTAGTGTGTGGCAGTGGCACCCTACAATAGAATTGTGTCCTGTGTACAATGTATATCCAGTTCAATTACAAAATGCCACTGAAACTATTTAAAACAGGGAGGGTTTCTTTAATAAAAGCAATGAATGCAGCATGTGAATAAAGCAATGAGGTTGGCTACTAAATGCGCTACTTTACATATATCTGACCTCTTCAACTGATGTACTGGTTTCCAATAATCTGTGGGTCTCCATTTTATTAAAACTTAATTAAGACAAACCTGTCATGCAATCAAATTATAAATTATATTATGAATAAAGCCATACATGTATGATTAATGAATGATACTAATAATAATTATAAAAAAAGCAAAATAACATTTCATTTAAAAGATGAGAAATGGGATTAGCATTTCAGACAACATCCGTGCAACAACATTCATAAGGAAAAAACCTTGTACATTTGTTCGGACAGACAATTGGATAATATTAATAATTTAACTTACAAACCAGAAAAAACACACCTTGAAATACATTTAATTACTGACATGCATGGATGAATTTATAGTGTAGTAAACAAGTAAAACTGCTACACATATGGCTTGACCTTTAATTAAATTCAAGAATATTTTGTACTCCTGGATTAGTTCTTACATGTACCTACCTTACATTAATTTCATACACAGCCAGATAAACGATATCTAGTAATAATTGAACAGTATTGTAAGTAACAGTCCAAATCAAATATCCTTGGTCTTTAGATTCAAATTGTCTAGTCTACATGTACATTCTATATTTTGTCAAGTCACCAAATAATAACTGAATATCATGGTGGATAGCTTCATTTAGTCAACATTGTTAACTACAATTTATGTAGATTTTTACCTGATTGTTCTCCTCAGCCACAAGTGACTATTTTGAAATAAATTTTAAAACACTAGTACTATTACCTTTTTGATATGATACTGTAAAGATGTCCACCAACCTCACTTACTTTTAGTATAGTATACAACACATTAAATGTAGGGTACACTATTCACACAATAGACATATTATGAAATATTATGCAGAAGGTGATGTGGCAATCAAATGTCTATTATGCAACAAGGTGTATCAACACACAATGCTAATGAACCACACTCAACAATGAAGTCCTACTGGTGCCTTTAGGCTAAATAAATATTCTTACTGGTGAAAGAACAATTGCCAATCTGCTCAAGCTTACACTTACATTATATTGAAACATGAATCGAGTTGAATGAGCAAGTGTACAGTGTGCAATATATCTTATGTCACAAAAAAGTATGTTCATATTGTATTTAAGAGTCATGAACAGAATAGTTTGGGTTTACTTTATTTCTGATTACATAATTGAGAAGAGAAGGTTAGGTCTTAACACAATCAGTCGTTCAGACTAAGGGGTGGAATTATATAATAGTGTTTCAGCGAGGTAGTTTGGGCATTGCTGATTTATAATTATGTGCAAGAATATGTATTTATTTAATGGTTGCCGTTTTTCCACATTCAAAATATTAATATTATATTGTAATTATTAGCTGCATCAGAAAGTTTGTCAGTGTGTCGAATATTAAGTGGGCCTATCTAAGTTTAAGAGCTGAATTTTGCTGGTGTTGAGTGAAGTCTGAAAAATGTTAATCAGAGCTGTCCCAAGAGAACAGTATATGTCAGTAAGCTTAATCAAAATAGGGTTGAATATTTGATATGTAAAACATAGTCCGGAATTTTAACAGGTAGAAATTGTTCTTTTATTTGCAAAGTTGAAATAAATTTGGTTAATAATTTTTGAAACATACATGTATTTAAAAAAGTAGCTACTGTCTGAACAATCATAAATTTAAAACGAATTTCTTTGATTATGAACAAACTACTTGACTTTGGTTATTATAAACTTACCTGTGTGTTTGAAATTACCTCTGGTTATATTAAATCCATTGTACAACTAAATATTCCAGCGAATAAAAAAGTTATCTCTTGTAAAACTGAAATGCTCAAAAACTTGGACATCGAAAAATACAAAGATAGGTTGCCAGGCAATGAAACATACGCCTACAGCAGCTAAATCGTCCGGGCAGTCAACAAGTGTTGTCGCATATTTTTTACTTTTTTTGGTAATGAAACATTTATAATACACTAAAATCTGATTAAGAGTAACAACTCATGAAGTAATTATCAATCTGAAGTCAATCGGATGATAACTTTAGCCTCTAGAGCGTCAAAAGTTTTTTCAAAGTGATCAAGGGCCATAAGTTTGGCAGTAATTATCGGAAATCGTTGAAAATCAATAGGATTCTTTGTCTCGTGACCTCAAACACTGTCAATCGGATATTAACTTTAGCCTCAAGACATCCACAAGATTTTTTGAAGTGATCAAGGGCAGTAATTATCGGAAATTGCTGAAAATCAATACGCTTCTCCATCTTATGACCGTAAACACTGTGTATAAATTTAAAGTCAATTGGATATTAACTTTGGCCTCTAGCGCATCCACAAGATTTTTGCAGTGATCAAGGGACATAACTCTGGAAGTAATTATTGAAAATCGCTGAAAATGAATAGACGTCTTCGTCTCATGACCTTAAACACTGTGTATAAATAGGTGGAAAAGGTGATTTTGAGATTATGATTATACATTTGATTTTATTAGCTTTCCAAGTAGATCTCATCATTCTTCTCACAAAACTTTTTACAGATTCAAAATCGGATGAAAACTTTTTTTTTTATTGAGGCTCAAAGTTGCGATTTTTGACTTTTCGCGGAAGAAAGGTTTTTCAACACTTTGAAAAAGCCATTTTTGGTGTTTTTTTGTGATGCCATATTTCATTTCATATCAAACCTATTAAAAATGAAGATGTAAATTCATGAAATACAACTTTAAGGCTAATTATGCTTCAATTTTCACATTTTTGTAATAATTACACCGATTTCCACAGTAACTGCAAAATACATAGGTTTTCTCAAAAATTCCATTTTGTCAGAGCGATTTTGGTCAATTTTTTCATCAAAAATGGTCTTGTGCATGTTATATCTGAAATTTTGAACCTGGTTGTTATGCATTTTAAAATCAGTAGCTATCAAGTATGATTAACGAAAAAAAAAAGAGTAAAAATATATATATGCCTTCTCTCAAGAGCTGAATATATGTTCATTTTTGAACAATTTTCCGCGGCACACAATTGCCTATTTTTGGGGTGTTTTTGGGACATTAATAAAATAAGAAGGAATGGAGATACACATGTGAAATTATGGGAATATGTCAAAAAGTTTGTGAATTTTTAAAATCACTTATTTCCAATCCGCCATATATTATCAATTTTGGTTGTCATAGCAACCAAAATGGAAAAAATGCAATTTTTGACCATTTTCAACGCTACTTACCATAACCCAAAAGGTCATCACCACATTTTAAAGTAAGCAGTTTAAAATATTTGAAACCCATGTAATATTAAATGATATGGATTGTGTAAGTTTGAGAAAAATATGAAGGAGTTTTGGCTGTTACCATAGCAACCACATTTATTTTTTTCCGAAAAGCATTATTTTCCAATAATCATGACATCAATATTGATAATTGTATTATTTTAAAAACAGAAGCTATTGGACAAGATTTTAAAAAATAAATAAAATGAAAATATTTATATGTCTTCTCCCAAGAGCTGGAAAGGGGTTCCCTTTTGAAGAACATTCTGCAGTAGCTAGTTGTCCATTTTGGCCATTATTAAGACATAAATAAAATATAAAAGGAATAAGGATCTTGAAGAGAAATTTTGTTTACAAGTAAATATGTTTGTGAATTTTTAAAATTACTTATCTTTACTCTTGTATATTACTTAATATTTGGTTTTTATAGCAATCAAAACGAAAACAAACACCCCAAAAAAGGCAATGTTATTCCATTTTCAATGATGTTTACCATGACAAACCAATTGATCGCCACATTTTTAGTACAGTAGCAGAAAGCTTTTTAGCATATATTTATAGCCCATGTAATACAAAATATTAAGAATTGTAAAATTTTAGTGAATTATTAAGGATTTTGGATGGTTGTCATAGCAACCACATGATTTTAAAAAACGGACAACTCTTGTTGCATTATCATTGTTCTCAGCATTCCTTGCTTACATTATTGTTAGAATTCTGCTTTTACATATTATTTTCTACTCAGAAGATAACATTGACCAATAAAAAATTATTCTCTAAAGACTAAAGAGTAAAAGTAGGTTACTCAGTTACTGATAGGCTATGGTAGGCCTAGTCATGTTTATAAAGGCCTAGGCCTAAAAGCTACAATTTAACTCAAAGAATTGTTATGTTTTTACTTCACTTTTGAATATTTATATTATTCCTTCAAATTGGTATGTAGCCCATTGAGCAGCTTCCTTTTTTGTATATTTTAATCAATGTAAACAAATATCGAATCAAGGCCCAATTAAGGCCTTAGGTTTGTCGGTTCATTCAATTGTTTAACTGGCCAACAAATATGTGATACTCGAGGTGTTAAGTATATTTTCCTAAAAAAAAGAATTAAAATTATAATAATTAGTATGACAACTGTTATATAATGCTAAATTATTTAGTAAAAACTAAAACGTTTTGCGAAAATTGGGTATCCGTATCAATACTGAGTGATGATAGTAATAGTAATTAGTATTGACATGACTGACCTAATTCATAATCTATGTCGGTTCCATCATCTCAAACGAAATGTTGCAAATCGCCAACGGCAAATCCAGAAATTGAGCCATTTTTCAAATTATTTCAGCTAGTTGGTCCAACTTTATATATTTGGGTATAATATCCGTTTAAGTGGATAGAAATCGATGTACTAATTATCAGTAGTACCTATACTATCTTCCTCACGCCTGCTGTCAGTACCAAGAGCAAGACCCGTGTGGATGTTTTCCGGTTTCATTTCCATTCGTGTGCACAGAAATGCTTTAAAATTGGGCTTGAATAATTCAGTGAACAGCGAATTTATGATTTCAGAGCATTGAAACATTCGTCAATTTTACGGAATTGTTCAATTCTTGAAAAATGTTTGGTGTTAAAAGTAAAGACGTGTGGTCGCCGATAGGAAATTTCCATTCGATTTTATATTTATATCCTGTCACATGGTTATAAAAGCGCGCGAATATGAGTCACGTGATGTAAACACAGTCAACCCAGCAAAGCCAAAAGGCGTGAAAAAAAATGGAATTAACTATCCTTATTTATTTTCAGGCAAGTCCTTTATTCATATAACATAACGCTTACTTCATAAATAAACATCGGAGTTGCCTTTCGACGTAATTTACCGCGAATATGAGTCTAAGGAACATGGAATACATTTTAGTTTTGGTGTTGAAATGACGTCATAACAAGGCTAAACTACGCGATTTATTTTTGACAAAATTTCTCATTGTATACCATTTTCAATTGCTTGGCGGGCGCACTTGCCATGCTCCGATTTTGTTGATTTTAATAGCATCAAAACGACAATAAAACGAACTTTCAATCGGTCGGGGGTGCTATATTGACAAATCGCCAAAAAAAAAGATTGCGTGAATTGAAGCGTTCAACTTGCAAAAAATGCATGGTATTTCGAAATGCCAACAAAGCACCCCCAACCAATTGAAAGATCGTTCATTTATCTTTCTAATGATATTAGAATGAAAAAATAATATTAATAATAAGTGCGCCCGCCGAGCACTTGAAGTGGGGTACCCTCGTTTAAAAACGTGACAAAATTTTTCAGCGTAACGTCAAAACACGGGAAATTAACGTTTTTCAACTTACGTTTATGAAATTAATAAAATGAACACATATATAAAAATTATATCAAACAAAAGAACAGGATATCGGCTTCCAAAATATTTTAAAATTATTACAAAATATTAAATAGCCACCGTATGACGTTAAGTTGAAAAGGGGTTACAAATCGGGAAAAAATGACTTTCTTCCAACGTGGGCAATGGAGCTGTGACACCTAGTATAAATTTAAAGTCAATCGGATATTAATTTTGACCTCTAGAGCGTCCACAAGATTTTTCAAAGTGATCAAGGGCCATAACTCTTGCAGTAATTATAGGAAATCGCTTAAAATCAATAGGCTTCTTCGTCTCATGACCTTAAATATTGTGTGGAAATTTAAAGTCAATCGGATATTAACTTTAACTTCTAGAGCGTGCACAAGATTTTTCT